AATGTATATATTAAGATGCTTAATTGTGTGATAAATGTGAGCAATACAGGATTAAGAAAAGAAAAAATCAGTGTAAACTGGATCACACCAATGTAAACTGGATTCACCACTTCTCTTGTTCTTTCTGGAGTGTGTCTTATCAGTATATCCTTGCTTTTTTCCTCTACACCCCCAACTAACACTTATCTCAGTGCCTGACATTAGCTATGAAGGTACTAATTGTTTATTGAATATTCCTAGCTAATTTCTCTACCACTAATCATAAGTTTTCTTACATTCCCTAAGTGAAGGCCATTACTATTGTCTTAGTTGCTCAAGTTAGAAAGTTTAGTATCAAGGCTCTTCCTTGCCCTCACATGCAAGGAGCCACCCAGTTCCTTAATTTCTATTCTTTGATTATAATAACCTTTCCATTGCTCTCCAAGTCTCCAGTTCTCCACTTTCTGCCTCCTGTCACTATCTTCCAATACATTCTCCACAGTGCTGTCAAGTGTTCCAGGTAAGACAGAGAGAAATTAAATTTTGTTACTTCTCCATCTTCAGTTTCTCTCTACTGACATCATTATAAAATCCACACTCCTTAGTGAAGTCAAGCAAAAGCTTTCTGATCTGTCTTTTCCTTTTATTTTATCTTATATCTTATGCATGTTTCTTTAGGCATAAGTATTTTAGAATCTTTTTTTTTTTTTTTAGTATTTTCAAATCTTTGAGCTAATTCCTTTGCTGGGAATATTTTACTACACATCTACTCCAATTTATCTCTCCTTTATGCCAGAGTTCAAGAATATCCAAAAAAACAAACCTAGTGCCCTTTCTCCACCTGGGGAATGCCCCACTCTGTGCATATAGTTTTGGTATCCCTAGCAATTAGCTAGCAATTAGCACAGGGCTAGATGCATAGCAGTGATCAATAAAAATGCTTGCTAATGAATAAAAACAGCTCTCTCTGGCTCAGAACTAGCTTGTGGCTTCTTCGCCAAATGCACCAAGAATGTCAGGGTCATTGGCGAATTTGGGATCCATTATGATGCCTCCCTCAGGAAAATGGTGAAGAAAATGGAAGTCACCCAATTTGTGTTGCCAAGTACACTTGTTCCTTCTGTGCCAAAACCAAGATGAAGAGGTGAATTGTGGGAATCTGACATTGTAGTTCCTGCATCAAATAGCAATTGGGGTACTTGGGCCTATAACCCCACCTCTGCTGTCACAGGAAAGTTGGCCATCAGAAGTCTGAAAAAATTGAAAGATCAGTAGAATCTCCACCATTTCAAAATTGCTAGCTTATAATAAATGGGTTAAGTAATATAACAGAATAATTTTGATTTGCTAATTTTGTTAATTAATGTTCTGATATGCATTGCATTAATTTTGCTTCTCAAAAGAGACTTGGAAATTAAAATCTTTGTAAGTTCTACTGGAAAAAAAAGAATAAAAACTTATGTTAAAGTAAAATGAAATAAAGTAAAATGAAAACATAGACATGCAAGCACAGATAGACAAAATTGGATGAGGAGATTTAAAAACTACTGAATTTGAAGGGCATGATGAGATAGAGGCAGGAGACTAGTTATGAGGTCTTCAAAAGAAGACCTAATGTGGGGTCTCCTTGGTGGCTCAAGGGCTTAAGCATCAGCACTATGAAGCTATCTGCAGCCACTGCACCAGGAGTTCCATCCCCCAGCAGGGAAATGACCCACGTGGTGCAACAGACCTCTCCTGTCTCACCTGCTGCTCCCCTCAGCAGTGTATTTCAGTCAGTCTGCCTGTTCTGTTCCCCACTCTGTCTCTGGTGAATCCTCTTACCTCCCGCATCTCTGGACTGTACTCCAGTTCTTGTATGCATAAATAAATAAATCTTTAACAGAAAAAAAAAAAAAGACCTAATGCGGTGAAGTCACCAATATCCAAGATCTGGTCATCAGTTCTATAGGTCAGAAATCATCTTGTAAGTGGCCCAAAGATCACTAAAGCTAGCCTAATTGATAAGATACTGATAGTCACTACTAATTAATATTACTGAATACTTGTTATTGTCCCACAATATTCTAAGTACTTTAAGAGAATCTGTCTTCAAAACACTCTCTGAGGTAGGTTGTTTCAGGTTATTATCTCTAGTCTAAAGATGAAGAAACTGAAACACCCATAAGCAACTTTTCCAGGGTTATACAGCTAGTAAATGATAATTTAAAAATTAGTAAAGGATTGTAATTAACATTTTGTAAAGAAATAATTCTCAGAAAGCAATACACATAGAAAGGGAGGAAAAAGATTTAAGTATTTAAGAACTAGTCTATGAGCCCAATAACTGACTAGTAGGCATTCCAGAGAAAATAGATTTAAAATGAGGGGGAATAAATTATCAAAGAAATAAATATGATTTTCATATAAAAATGAGTTTTTGAGTTTCAAAGTTCTCTGTGTACTCAGAACAATGAGTGAAAAAGTTTCAATACCAAGGCACATTATGAAATATCAGAACATTGGAAGTAAAAAGAGGATCTCCTGTAGCCAGAATGCACAGCTCTATGAACAAGAGGAGAAGTTAAATAAGTAGGTCTATGATAAAGGAAACAATAGAAGCAAGGAGCCAGTTTCCCCGCTTGTCAGGGAATTGGTACAATGTGGAGACCCTGTGTCAGCTCACCAAAGAAATTAAGAATGCATGTAAGACCACTGATGGCTGTCAATGTCAGCTAAAGAAGCAGAGATGATGAAAACAAAGTAGTTAAGTAGCAAGACTGATTTGTCTTCTATTCCTAATTTAATTCTCCAAACAGAGGAGTTAGCCTTGAAAAGGAAGGAGGGAGAAATATCCTAGAATTAGACACTTTGCCAAGGCCAGTCTTTAAGGGTTTGGAGAGGGAGAACGTGTGAAAAACTGACTTTATTTTACAGATTCCTGTGGCTATTCATCAGTGGCTACAAGTCTGACCAACAGTGGAAAATGTTATAAAACACTGAAAATTTTAACATAGGCTAAGCTAGACTTTGATAATTTAAAAGATCAGAAAACTAAGGAATCTTCCAGAGAGTTGTTATGTGAAAGGGGGTTTGAAGGAAAGGTATTAAAAAGAATACACTGGAAGCATTGACTACAGAAAAAAAAAAAACATTTTTTGTTTATATTCCGACCAACGTCAGGTTCCTTAGTAACTTGATCACACAAAAGTAAAAGTAGCTAGTAAGTAGTTTATAACAAAGTTAAGTGAATAAGTAAGAACTGAAAATTGTATGTACATGGAAAGTACAATTCTGAGTAATCTGAATCCATTAAACAAAGCCTGGAGCAGATAACTTAATTTTCTGTAAATCGCAGTTTTGCATACAGTCAGCAAAGACTGTGTAACTAACCAAACCTACTATTATACTTCTTTTTGCCATTTATTTAAGATGTATAAATAAGTTTATTTAGTAAGATTGCTTTTCAAAAATCCATGTTGAATGATGGATAATTGACCACCTTCTGTGGACTTATAAATTATGGTCTTTTTTTGGGGGGAGGGGAAGTTTGGTTATTTTTGTTTTTGAAAGATTAATGCCACAGTAGCTCAAAGAAGAAAACTAAACAGAGTGTGATCTCCCAGTTCCTCCCCTTTCCATTAAAAACTGAGTATTATACTTGACTTTTCCCATTATCTGCAATCATTCCAGTTTGCAGGGAGTCCATACATATAATTGTTAATAGTGCAGATATTTCAGAGAACATGTCTTTGAGCCTTCTCGGGAAGATTCTTTTAGGCCCACCTGATGTGAAATCATCTACCCCTATTCTATCTCTAACTCCAGTTTCTATAGCATGGTGTTGGTAATATCTGTATGAGGACTCTAATTTGTGAAGTCTTCCTCTCACATTGGAATATTTTAGGAAAGGGTAAGAATCTCCTGGAATTATTAATCTCATACCTAGAAATGCACCAACCTCTTCTTAATTCATTCCTGGTAAGTTGCTGGTAGAAATCTTTTTTTTTTAATTTATTTATTAAAGATTTATTTATTATGATTTATGCCTGCAGGAGCTGGGGTACAGGTCAGAGGTGTGGGGAGTGAGAGAATTCACCAGAGACAGAGTGGGGAGCAGAACAGGTAGATCTGCTAAAATACACTGTTGAGGGGAGCCATACGCAAGACAGGGGAGGTCTGCTGTGCCATGTGGGTTGCTCCCTGGCAGGGTAGGCCAAGATCAAACTCACCCTATAGTGGCTGTCAACTGCTTGATAGCACTGTCTTTAACCCCTGCACCACCAGGGAGGTCCTCTTTTTGTTTTTAAATAGCAACTATACATGACCCCAATGGACAATATACTTGGCCTACATAGCATAAAAACCACCAGAGACTAGCTCCTTTCAATTATAGCTGTTGCAACCATGCACATCTGAAACTTATATGATATAATGCAATGTTATTTTAACTTTTCAACATTTCAGATATTTTCTAAAAAAGATTTTATTTTTATTTATTTATACATATAAGAACTGGGGTAGGCCAGAGGTACAGGGGATAAGAGGATTCACCAGAGACAGAGCGGGCAGTAGAACAGGTAGATCCACTGAAATACACTGCTAAGGGGAGCATCAGGCAAGACAGGAAAGGTCTGCTGTGCCATATAGGTTAGCTTCCTGGTCCAGGATTGAACTCAGGCTACGTGGTGATAGTCCTGAGACTTAAACCCTAGGCCACCAGGGAGGCCCCCATGACCATTTTTTTAATAATGTGTTAAAAATTTTTTTTTTTCTGGAGGTTTTCAAGGCAGGATGACAAAATTTACAAGTCCATATGCATTTAAACCTGTATCAAACATACCTGCCATTGTAATGCTAGTTCATTCCTAACAGTGTAATACAGCCTTTTTCTCTGGCGAAAAAAAATACCTTCTCCAGATATTTTAATGTAGACTGAATATCATACTAATACCATCCATATTAACATAGAATTTTAAAGTTTACCAGCCTCTTTCATAAATAATTGTTTTCACAACAACACATTGTGGTCACTGGATTTATTATCTACTTAATAGATGAAACAAGGTCACACAATCATGAAGTAACAGAACTGAGGCAAATAGAACGCTGAACTTTCCACACTACTAAGCTGTCTCTTCCATATACATCAGGACAGCATATCCCTCTTGTAGAGCTTTTTTCCCAAGGTGATAATATTCACTTCCTCAATCTCCTTTAGAACAAAATAAAATACAAATTTAAATAGAAGAGGAAAACCCTACAAAATAGCTCTTCCTTTTTGATAAATTTACCATTTCCTTTCTGAAAGAAATTATCCTTGTATCACTTAAACTGCACCTACACATACAATCTGTGATATTTTAACAAATATGTGGGAACAGTTCTAAGACAAGGAAATTCAAAACTGTAACCTCAGTTCTGCAAGCAGATCAAGTTAAATGCTAGTCCCATGACCTATAGGTTTCATATTATTCATATTCATCTTAGTACTTATTCATATTTATCATATAAAGGCTTTATCTTATTTTTTCTCTACTAATAATCAAAAAGTCATAGACCCAATCTGTTTTATATTTGCTGCAGTTAAGACAAATTCCTCTTTATCTCATATTAAAAGGATCATAGTTGTGGGTCAACTACTGGCTGATGTACAGATAAAACGGCTTTGGAAAGAAATGTCTTGCCATTTTGAAAAAAACGATTATTTAATAAAAAAGGTTTTACTTTTTTTTTAAAAGATTTATTTATTTATGCATACAAGAGCTGGGGTATGGGCCAGAAGAGGGCGGGGGTGGGGGGCGGTAAAAGGATTCACCAGAGACAGAGCAGAGCAGAACAGGGGAGCAGAACAGGCAGACCGACTGAAACACACTACTGAGGGGAGCAGCAGGTGAGTAAGGAAAGGTCTGCTGTGCCATGTGGGTTGCTCCCTGGCCGGCTGGGGACTCTGCCCTGCAAAGGCTGTGGACTGCTTCACAGGCTGCGTCTTAACCCCTTGCGTTACCAGGGGGGCCCTAAGTTTTCCTTTTTTGATCCATGATGTTATTAGTAGCATTGATTTCAATATTAACATTATTACCAAGGTAATTTCTTGTGTTTCATTAAGGTTAAGAGAAAAAGGATCTAAGCATTCTCAATACCTTTTCTGATCTTCAGGAGGGCATCTCAATGTAGTTGGAAAAAATACTTGGTTGAATATCTGGAGAGGAGAACTGGGCTCTTGCACATACTGTATAGAGTGTGAGCTGAGCAATTCCTTTTTTCTGGGCTTTCCTTTCCTCATCCCTAAAATGAGGAGGCATATTAGTTCTAGATATCATCCTAAAGGTTCACTTTAGCTCTAGCTCGTCATCGTAAAACCTATTAACGTTTCTTGAGACAAGATATTCTAGAGTATAGACAACACTGGGAGTGTGCGGACACCTAAATAATGTTTTATCGGCTGGGGCAGTTACAACTACTCAATACTAAAAAGCCCTAGGATCCAAATCAGGTAGCATCCGGTAATGCAGTTCAAGTCATAGCCCTTAGACCCGTGGGGCTGTTATTAGGTCATTTGAAGGATTAGAGGTAACAATTTCAGTGCACTAAATGGTTGCCTGAATCACTGTCAAGGATCCCTGAGAGTGAAAGCAGGGTATGTGATGTTTGAAAAGCACTTACAGCAAAAACAGAAGCCAATAAAATAAGAAGTGAATATTCCTCCGTAGTTGCAACTCAGTCCCTACATTTTACCTACGTAAAACCAGGAGTTTAGATCTACTCTCAAGGCTAAGGGGAAAGTTTTTCCACCAGTTTCCAAGACACGGCTGAGGGTCAGGAGAGGAACCAGCATACAAGATCTATAACATTCAAAGCAATTCCAATGACACTCTCCCGGCCACCGCGCGTCGCGGTACACAAAACCGCATTGGCGGCCTCCCGCTCCCGCTCGGGCCTACAAAGCCGCCGACGGCACCGGCGGAGCCCAGACCACAGCCCGAGCCTACCCGGCCGCGCTGGCCCCACCTCTTGAGGCGCTTCCGCCGCCCCGCGCCTCGAGCTCCTCCTCTCATTGGCCAACCGCAGCCCAGGGGTGGGCGGGGGAAATGCGTCAGTCAGTGCGCTCACTTCCGGCCAGGGAGCGCGCCGGTTGATTCGTCCTTCCTCAGCCGCTGGTGCTCGCAGCTCGGAAATGGCGGGTAAGTTCCCGGGAAAAGTTTACCGAGGGGAGGGGGCGGGCAGGTCGGGGAAAGAACGTCGAGACGGTGGTGACAGTGCCCGCCTGGAACTTTCCGGCCGTAGCCTGGGTTCTGGAAGGCCTGCTCCAGCCTGGGAGCCCCGAACTCCGAATCCAGCTCCTTGTCCGCCGTGGTTCGCGCCCCCGCCCCCAACTGCCGGGGGTTCTGCGCCTTTTGCGAGGGATTCGGCCCTTGGCGAGGGCCGGAGAGGCTGGGGGAAGCGTCGCAGTTTGGGCTTGTAAGGTGCCAGGTGCCAGGAAGCTTGCTTCTCGTCGCCTTCATCTTGCCCGACACTGCCTCAGCTACACTGCTTCTGTCTACTTCCCGCCAGCTGATTGTAATGCTCGGATCCTCCTCCTCCAGGTTTCCCTCCACCTTCCGCTACAGGCACCTCGGAGCTAGCGCCTTGCTGGCTGGCCCTGCGCTGGGACTGCCACTTACTCTCACTGACTTCGTAATCTTCTCCTTACTCTCTCACTCTTGAACATTCCTTGGCTCTGTTTAGATTTCCCTTGAAAAAATCGATTCTCGCATCCTTTCTTCATCTAAACTTTCAGAGTATGTCTACTATAATATAATTCTCTTGTGTTCATTCTATTCTGCCCTTTTCTTTACTGAGTTCTCTTCATTTTACAATATTAAATTTGTCATTGCTATTCTTTTGAATGTGTATGAAGACGCTTTGGGTATATCCCCCCCCCCCCGCCCCAGTTGCGTATCTTTTGAACTGATGGATGGTTTCTACTTTATCTTTTGCCAGTGTCTTCATAGTAGTCTGATTACATTTTTATGGATGTATTGCATAGACAAGCTCTATGACTGTAGGATCTTGGGAATACTCTGGTACCGTAAAAGGGCGGGGGTGGGAGAAAACACATATTTTGTAAAATGTACATATAATAAGAATTTACACCTAAAATGAATCTTAGCTTCACCACTTGGTTGTTGAATGCCTTTAAACAACTAAACCTCTTTCTAGACTTTTGATTTTGAATATGAAGTTGGACAGATGATACCTATTTATAGCATTGTGGGGATTAAACTAAAGTATAATTTCACAAGTTAAATTTGATTGCTTGTATTATACATAAGTTTCTTGAGATAGATTCTTTTGTCTCAATTTTGTATGCTGTGGTCAGAGAATCAATAGTAGCTCCATTTCACAAGTCTGGTAAATAAATGGTGACACCTGTATTTGAATCTGAGAATTGTGACTCCAGACCATTAATCTATACAACTTGTGTTTCCCATTCCCCTGTGCTTTAAGCACTTATTAAATTTATGGTATCCCAATACCCCTTTTGTTTCTGCTCATGATCCCCTCCCCCCGAATTTTTACTAATATTTGTGCTCATGTTGTCAGGAGTTTCACTGTCATCTTTACTTGGAAGTTTCTCTTGATATATGACTAATTCCATTGGTAATTATGTATGGTAGCCACATACAGTAAAACCATTTGGTCATTCCCCTCGCCCATATTTTGACTTTACACTCACAAGGTAAAAAATAATTTTAATACGGAAAAATTTTCTGTCCCCACTCCTGTCCCTAGTACCCATTCCTTCTCTCTTAGCTTAGAGGTGACCATAGTTAACAGTTCTTGTTATTCGTCCTGAGATAAAATATGCATTATCAGCGGATGGTTTTTTAATATTTTATATGTAGAATTTTTCCAGTGGTAGAAATAAAATGCTGTTGTAATTATGAAAGAATATTTTCAATTTGTTTCTTAGTGGAACAGTGGCATCCTTTTTATTTTTCTTTTGAAAAGGCTACTTAGCTATACATCCTACCAGGTAATTTTATATTAGTATTAAATATTTGGAAAAGTCAATCTGTGAGGTTAGTTTTCAGGTTTACTCATTTATGTAAAGCAGGCCTACTTCTAAGTCTCTCAAAAGTGATGACTTTTGTGGTTTGTAATGAGGCATTTACTCAGTACATTTATGTGGAGTATATGAAAAGTGAACTGTACTTGTGATCTGTTGGATTGTTTTGAATCTTATTTTAATTCATTTTGAATAAGAACCCTACTGTAAGTTTGACTATTTCAACCACTTCCAGCAGATCTTTAAAAAGCCTTTTCTCTTAGGATTTGGTGCTATGGAGAAATTTTTGGTTGAATACAAGAGTGCAGTGGAGAAGAAATTGGCAGAGTACAAATGTAACACTAACACAGCAATTGAACTAAAATTAGGTATGTATGCCATTTCTAAGTGATAGTATATATGTACTGTTTGTGTATGTATAATCTTTATAAATTTAAAGTAGAATCATATGTAAGAGTAGTTTATGTAAATGTATGGTGTTCTGTACTTATAAAACATGACTTTTACTCTTGATTTATGTCATTGAGTGGATACGTGTTTGAGAGGTGGCAGAGTTTACCTATAAGAAGTACACTGTGGCAAAGGTTATAGCCTCTGCCTTCCCTTTTTTGCTTATAAAAATAATAAACAACAAATGTTGCTGAGTCTAAATTTACTGTATGACCCAATGAGTCTACACCTAGAAAATAAAAATGCATATTGATACAAAAACCTGTACATGAATGTTCATAACATTTTTCACAATAGCCCCAAATGAAGACAACTGCATTCTGTCAGCTGGTACATGTACCAGTTGTGTGTATGTGTACATGCATGTATATGTATATACATACATGATGAAATATTATTTGATAATGAAAAGGAATGGAGAGCTGACATTTATTATGAGACAGATGAAATTCAAAAACATCCTAAGTGAAACAAACCAGATGAAACCCTCCACATGTTGTATGAGTTCATTTATACACAATGAAAATGTTTAGAAAACACAATTACATGGAGCTAAAAAATGGATTACTGGTTGCCTGGGGCTGAGTGTGGTTGTACATGGGCAGATTTCTTGAGGGATGATGGCAATGTTTTAAAATTAGATTGCGGCAGTGGTTGCATAATTCTAAATTTACTAAAAATCATTGACTTACACAGTTAAAACTAGTGCATATTATGGTTTGTAAAGTATGCTTCAATAAAACAGTTTAAATAATAATTACATGCTCATGAATCCTGATCCCATCACGTTTCTTGCTTCAGCTTCCTCATCTTTATTTTATTTTTCAAAGGTTTATTTATTTATGCATACAAGAGCTAGGGTACAGGCCAGAGATACGGGGGGGTGAGAGAAAGAGTGGGGAACAGAACAGACAGATTGACTGAAATACACTGCTGAGGGTAGCAGCAGGCGAGACAGGAGAGGTCTGCTTTGCCATGTGGATTGTTCCCTGGCCAGCCCAGGATCGAACTTGTGCTGCAGAGGCTGCAGATTGCGTCATAGTGCAGTGCTTAACCCCTTGCGCCACCAGGGAGGCCCAGCTTCCTCATCTTTAAATGTAATTATATGTAATAATATGTAATAATATTTCTTGGTGATTGTAAAAATTAAATGTGAGATTAAATGCTAATAAAGTGCTTAAACAGTGACATTATAGGCAATCTTACTAAATGTTACTATTTTTTTTAAATATTTATTTATTTATGTATTCATATAAGAACTGGGGTACAGGCCAGAGGTGCAGGGGGTGAGAGGATTCACCAGAGACAGAGTGGGAAACAGAACAGGCAGATTGACTGAAATACGCTGCTGAGGGGAGCAGAGGGTAAGACAGGAGTGGTTGGCTGCATCATGTAGGTTTAGCTCTCTGGGGCTACCGATAGCTTCATAGCGTGTGACTTAACCCCTTGCGCCACCAGAGAGGCCCAGCTACTATTATTTTTTAAAACAATGCACTTAAAACAAGTATATTAGAAATACAGAGAAGGTGACAAAGAAGGTAATGGTCCCCTGAACTCTCACTGCAAAGGTTATACTGAGCTAGATTTTTATCTTATGCGTGTATTGATTTTCCTAAAACAAGGGTCCTGTTTTGAGACTATTTTGTTATTTACCTTACTGTATTAACTATCATTCCCTCTAACTCCATATAGACCTACTTTATTCTTTTAACTTATGTAATAAAGTGTTAAATAAAGAGATAACTGAGGCACATTCAAAATTGTCAAAAATGAGTTTATTTGGGAATATAAGAGCAATTGCATTCAGGACATTCAAAGTATTAGGCTCTAGGTAAACTGTGGGATAGGCTGTATTTATGGTCAGGCAATGTAAATAGGGAAGAGTTCAGTATGAAACCAACGGAGACCAGCCCTGAAAATTCCCGGAGCAGACAAAACTAGCCCCGTCTAGCTCATGTTATGAGACCAACCCAACCTGCATCATCTATTTATGCCTTTGGGAAAAGTTGTCTGTAAATCATTGATTTATGGGAGATCAGTCTCTCAGTTCTTTTCCTATTTTCTTGAGGGCACATGTGTGAGATTTTCCATTTTATAGTCTCCATTTCCACCTTAAATTGAAATTCTTTCATAGCAGTATGACTGTATCATAACTTATTAAGTGTTCTCTATTGGGGATTTTTAGGTTGCTTCACCTTTTGGTGTTAAAAATAGTTCTCTGATAAATATCCTGTGTGTATCTTTTACCAACTTGTTCAATAGACTGTGTATCTAGAAATTGAAATAGTAGATCAGTTTCTCAACTTCAACACTATTGACATTTTTGGATTAGATAATTCTTTGTTGTAGGGTGCTGTCCTAAGCAATGTAGGATGTTTAGCAGCATCCCTGGTCTGTACTCCTAAATGTCAGTAACGTTCTCCTACAACCAAACTGTCTCCTGACACAGCCAAATCTCCCCGGCAGGGGTGAGTAATGC